CAGCCATTACTGGTTTTTGACGATAGAAGGGGGCCATCAGCCAAGGAATGTGGCAGCACCTAGAGGTTGGACAAGACAAAACAGATACTCCCCTAGAGCCTCTGGAAAGGAACACAGTCCTGCCAACACCTTGATTTTAGTCCAGTGAAACCCATTTTGGACTTCTGACCTCCAGGACTGTGAGATAAATTTGTATATTTAAGCTGTTAAGTTCATAGAAATTAGTTATAGCAGCAACAGGAAAATGAATACAATATCCATGTAGTTTTTACTGATTTTTTTGGGGGGGGGACTTCGTAATGGCTTGTTCTATCTTTAATTCTAGTACCCTAACAAAGCACATTGAAAACAGAAATAGACTGTATTTTAATTTTTTTCTTTTTTCCTCTCTCTCTTTTTTTCTTCATTTTGTTTGAGAACTTTTTTTTTTTGTTGTTTGATGTATCGTTATAGCCATGACAAACTTATTGGCTTGTAGTTAAATCAGAGTCTCTATGAGCTTGATGTGGGTTTCCTGTCTGAAGTAAAAACCCATTCAGGGCCGGCCCAGTGGCGCACTGCTACAGTGTGCCGCTTGGGAGCACGGCAGCGCTCCCGCCGAGGGTTCGGATCCCACATACAGACCGGCCGCTCACTGGCTGAGTGAGGTGTGGGCGCAATACCGAGGGTTGCGATCCCATTGCCGGTCCCGGTCCGGTATGGGCACGACACTGAGGGTTGCGATCCGTTGCCGGTCACGAAAAAAGACAAAAAGGAAAAAAAAAAAAACCATTCATGCTGCCTTTCTGACTGCTGTTGGAGGTTCTTCCCAGGTCTTCTCCACTCATTCTGCAGGCCTACTGCTTTTTGCAGAAGATAGAAGAGATTTAATTTTACTTTCAATTCAGTCCTATTGCACTAAATCTAATTGAAATTCCTCTTACTTTTTTCCAGGTATATTACACCCTTCCTATTTTTAATTTCTGGTATATTTTCTACTCTTTCAATATCCAGCTGGTAATTTTTATGAAATACAGAGTTCTTACCCAGAATCCTCTTAGTATGGAATTTTAAATCAGAAATAGACCTTATGTATTAATTAGTTCAATTTCCTCATTTTACAGATGATAAAACTGAGGTTCAAAAAAATCATATGTTATTAAATGTGTACAGTTTTTATGTCATCACAGCTCAATTTCCAGGAGAAAAGAAATGGCATAGGACTGGCTCACATGCTGTTTGGTGACTCAACACACGGGATACCATTAGTGAAATTTGTACTTTTAAATTTTGTCTTTAACTAGATAGTTTTCCTATGTGGGAAGGGCTAGGAAGGAAGCTGCATGTATCCCTGTTTGACTTTGTTGGTAACTGGTGTTCAGAAGCTGAAATGCTGTAAAATAATACATGCTTGATATTTGGTTTAAAAATTTCTTTGTACAGAGGAAGTAAATGATTATGGGGTTAATGGAAAGAACAGGGTTTTGCATTTATATTCATCATTTTGTATATATGCTCTGCAGAAAGGAAACTTGGAAAGTGTAAAAGATAAAGTTATCTTTAACTTATTAATGAAACCAATATGTATTTTGTATCTAATCCATCTAACAGTGGGATGCTATACAACAGTGAACAAGAAAGCTGGAATCTGTGCCGTCCTAGGGTTTCTAGCCTACTGGAGGAGTGATCAACAGATAATTAAGCAATTATTAAACAGTGTATTAAGTGTTGTCATATGGAACTGTGATGGGAAATACTGTGCCCAGACTTAGGAATGTATGGGGAGAACGACTAGAAGGAATACAATTTCAGCTGACAAAAATAGCACTCAAAATGTGGTCCCTGAGCCAGGAATATCAGCATTACCCAGGGCCCCACCTCAGATATACTGAATCAGGAGTTCTTGGGCTATGGCCAGCAATCTGTTTTACAAACCCTTCAGATGATTCTGATGTAGGAAACCACTGTTCTCACTGATGCTGAGAACCAGAGGTAAGAGAGAGCACAGCATATTAAAGAGAAGCTAAAGAGAAGAGTTTGAAGTCATTAATAGCTTGAGTTGAGACTAGAGAGGTAGGTACAGCCTGATAAGATGGTTGAAGAGTTTAGGTTTTTATCTTAGGTGCACTTGTAAGCCATCAAAGCATATTCAGTAGAGGAACAGCTTGGTTAACTGTGTCTCGTAGAAAGATCACTAGAGATCAGAGCTGGGTAGAAAGAACAACGTAGGAACAGCAAAGGTTCTTGACATAGTGGGAAGAGATGAGACTCAGAGCCTTTGACTGGCAAAGGACACACCTTTTCTGCTGCAACAGAAAGGAGGAAAGGATGGATTATTGAACAAGTAAATTTTTAGTTTTGGTGGGAGAAAAGGGAGAATTCCCCACTGATTTCTATTTTCCTCTGTCTGAAAACTGCTGAGGAAGAGAGGGAAGATGGGCCTCAAACTTGAGAATGGTAGATAAGTTTAAAATAGACATTGTGCAGTATATATGGGGTAATAATTAAGAGGGAACCAAACTGCCATGTGGTATTGAAGTCCCAGTTGAGGATAGATTATCACAAATTTATACTGGGATCAATCTGCAGATGATCAAAGTGTGATTTTCTCTAGCATTTCTCAGAAGCCTTAGTCTACATGTGGAAGTAGCAACAAACTGGATTCATCCAAGACTGATGTTATTCTAATATACTTTTTTGGAAGTACAGTAGGGCAAGGAGATTAAAAGAGAAAGGCCTCTGCTCCCTCATCTAAAAGTTCAAAAATTCAATAAACTCTGAAAATGGAAGATTTTTTTATAACTCACTTCGTGGCAAAACTTCTCTGAATGAATTGATATGAGGCTATTTATAGCCTTCACTTATCAAATGTAAGATATATGTCATATGTTTGCTTCACAGAGTAATGTGTGTACTTATAGAGTGCTGCCCCAATTCTGCTGGGGATATGACATCATATCTGGGATATGAATGGCATAACTGTTCCTAAAACCAGAAAAAAATCTGAAGTCTGAAGGACACCTGACCCCAGTATCTTCAAGAAGAGATTGTGTTCCTGTGTTAGCATTAAAGACATTGACGTAATGTACTATGGAATAAGCTGGAAAAGAGAATAAGGGGAAGGTGAGGAGGGTAATCCATTGTTGAAAAAGGTACAGGAGTCAAGGAGATAGATAACTTCAGAGAACCGAAGTGTCTGAGGATCAGATGAGAAAATCTGAAGAACCGAAGATTGTGATGAGTAATTAGAATGTCTTAATTATTTCCAAAGGGAGACAGTTCTGAATTGTAACAAAGTCCAGGGTGTGACCATGGGTGTGGGCAGCTGAGTTGTAATGGAATAAAAGGTCATTAGAGATGAGGTCAAGAAAATGAGAGGCAGGAAAATTAGATGAATTACCCAGAGTAATGGCAAAATATGGGGTGGAATGGATCATACAAGCCAAGTTCTCCAGTCGCCAAGGGGTGAGGCACTGTGGAAGGTACATAATATACCAAGATGTGTAGGTCAAGGTCTTCGCTTTTCCCCCAGAGTATGATCTCTTGAAGAAACTGACAGCTAAAGAGAGAAATAGTCATACATGTTAAGTGTAATGTTCAAAGTGTGATCTAAAAGCTGTTAAAGTTCAGAGGATGGAAGAGACTTTAGATGTCTGAGCAGGTCAGAAGACTACCCGACCGATCAATAAGTGTTTCACACTGTTTTTGATATTTTCAGTGTTTGGTAAACATTTTTGCACAATGTATAGATATTCAGTAGAACATGTGATCAAAAATAGTGGTTAAAACTGTCATATTTGCTAGGTAACTTATTAAAAGCAAAGCAAGATAAAAAGAAAAAACGTGAACTGTCTTCAAGAAATATTTTTTAATTCTAGGAGTCTCAGATAAACTTAAGGCTTCGGGGAGAGTGATTTATATTATATGATGTATAATTTTCTGGTTTTCCTTTGTTGTTTTTTATGTTTTAATAATTTTATTGACTACCTATATTCTGTTTGAAACTGCCTCAATCCTTTCAGGACCTACGTGAAAGTATAAATAATAAGCAAATATATTCTAATCAATGATGTTGAAAAATAAGTAAACGTGTTACATATCACTCCTCATTTAAAAAAATATACTTAATCTAATCTGAGTATATTTTACTTCTTGTAGAGCAGTGTCAAAGTGTCAGCTGCTGTTTGGAGGTTACGTTAAGTACTCTGAAAAGAAAAAAATATGTTACATATCACTCCTCATTTAAAAAAATATACTTAATCTAATCTGAGTATATTTTACTTCTTGTAGTGCAGTGTCAAAGTGTCAGCTGCTGTTTGGAGGTTACGTTAAGTACTCTGAAAAGAAAAAAATTCTCAAATGTCATAGACTGATGAATGCTATTCTGGGTATAAGGAGTCTTGGGGGTAGGCAGTGCTGACCACAGGAATGTTGACCAGCAAATGTTGGCTTTGGGCAAAGAACCTTTGATGCATAGTGAACTCTTAGAAATGTAGGGACTGGTGGTCCTTGTGGGAACCTGAGTTGTAAAGTGTTTGTCACAGATAGATCATACTATGTGAGAATAGAAATGCAGAATAATAGGGCAATGATACCCTATCTATAAACCCACTGTTTATAGATTCCCTAAATAACAGGTCAAAATAGATTTCACTATGCTAAATATTCCAATTGCAACGTTGTGCAAAATTTTCGTCTGTCTTATGTATTTTAAGCAAGATTCTTGGGCCATGTGGCTTTTCTAGTAGACTTCATGACATAAAACTGCCCAGCAGAGACCTTGTCATTTGTTTAACTCCAACTGTCTTTAATCTTGAGGACAGTAGCACTGTGAGAAATCTTGGGGTTTCCACATAATCATAGAATGTTATGCAGGGTCAGATTTTTAAATTCTTTGCTTTTGTTTTTCTGCCACATTTATGATAGAATTCTTGTATTTTCTATACATCTTAAAATTTAAATCTGTGGTTTCTTTTCTTCTCTCTCTCTTTTTTTCATCTCTTTCCTCCTTTTTCTTTTAGTTCACAGCCATGAACGAACCACAGTGCTTCTACAATGAATCCATCGCCTTCTTTTATAACCGGAGTGGAAAGCATCTTGCTACAGAATGGAACACAGTCAGCAAGCTGGTGATGGGACTTGGAATCACTGTCTGTATCTTCATCATGTTGGCCAACCTCCTGGTCATGGTGGCCATCTATGTGAACCGCCGCTTCCATTTTCCTATTTATTACTTAATGGCTAATCTGGCTGCTGCAGATTTCTTTGCTGGCTTGGCCTACTTCTACCTAATGTTCAACACAGGACCCAATACTCGGAGACTGACTGTTACCACATGGCTCCTCCGGCAGGGCCTCATTGACACAAGCCTGACGGCATCTGTGGCCAACTTACTGGCTATTGCAATCGAGAGGCACATTACAGTTTTCCGCATGCAGCTGCACACACGGATGAGCAACCGGCGGGTGGTGGTGGTCATTGTGGTCATCTGGACAATGGCCATTGTTATGGGTGCTATACCCAGTGTGGGCTGGAACTGTATCTGTGATATTGAAAATTGTTCCAACATGGCACCCCTTTACAGTGACTCTTACTTAGTCTTCTGGGCCATTTTCAACTTGGTGACCTTTGTGGTAATGGTGGTTCTTTATGCTCACATCTTTGGCTATGTTCGCCAGAGGACTATGAGAATGTCTCGGCATAGTTCTGGACCCCGGCGGAATCGGGATACCATGATGAGTCTTCTGAAGACTGTGGTCATTGTGCTTGGTAAGTTTTGTCTTGACTCTAATTTATTTTATGGATTCTCAATGTCTTAATATAAACGACATTAGTTTAAGTATTCACCAGGTGTATATGCAGGAATTGCAAGAGAATGAGGCACTTTTATATTAAACATCTGTGACAAAGTCAGCTTGTCAGTCTTTCTAATTGGCTTCGGGGAAATAGGGGTCTCAGTGGTGTAGTATAAATGATGAGAATATGAACGTTGCCATCGAAGAGACTGGCTATCTAGTATTGAAAATACCAGAACAACCCACCAAATTTATTTAGCTTTCGTAAGGTTTCCTTACAGTCCAAATTGTGAAGCTTTTGCCTGTGGTCTCTGTATTACAGATTTCAGATAGAAAGTGCTTTTTTGTAATACGAATATGTTCTCATAAGTTATTTCTACTAGTCTATTTTTGAGTAAGTTATCTTTGCATTCTGTAATTATTACTACATTGTAGGTAAGTATGTAAAGATTTTGTATAGATTTACTGAACAAAACAGATTGGAGTTAATGATATTCTGTGACAGTCATCGTCATGAAAACATTTTTCTTCATTAATTTTCTGCTTGTAGTAATGGAAGTTATATTTCAAGGTGAAGAGCAAAATTTTATTATTTTTGTAGACTCGAATAACTTTTGCCTTTAAATAAGTATTTTTTTTCCTGGATGAAAAACTCATGGTAGTGACCAGGAGAAATATATTTATTCATTTATGTACTCGGAAAGTAGTTAAAGAGCACCTAATAAGTTTTAGATTCTATGCTGGCCCCTAAAAGGACAGACAGAACACTTCTTTTGGAGTTTTGAGTGCCTATCTTAAAGGTCACTCAGTGAGAATTTGTTTAATTACATATTCTCCATTGACTATATTCAGGTTAATATTTGATCACAATTTTTAAATCTTTGAAAAAACCTTTTGTCATTTCATCTTTACCCATAGAAATTCAGTGGAAAGTTTCTATAATTCTCTTTGCTACAATTTCTAAAGCAGTATTGAGTGAATGTAACCTGAGGTTATGTGGCTTCTCTGAAACTCTGGAAATTACATTAATTTTAGTCACTGGAAGGTGATAGAGCCCTAATTATCTCTTAATTAGTATTCTGGTTCATGCATCGGTCCCAGCTCTTTTGGTCAGGGCAAATGCATCATCATGATTGTTTCTGGCTATCCTGATTGTGACTCTCGAAGACCCAAAAGAATGAGAACTAGGCCTTGGAATTGCTGACTTAACTAATATCCTGCCTTACTAACTGAACACTCAGATAATATCCCCACTGGGGACCCCATCACCTTGTATGTGAGATTGTCTTATTTTATCCAATGAAGCTTAATAGAAGGATAGAAATGGCTTCCCTGTATGATTAATTAGCAACAAGACCTTGGGCATACCTGTTCCACAAGGACATATTTTCTGTTATATGAGGAAACACGTATTAGTTTATCCATGAAAGCTATTTTTGTATGAAATTAAATGAGACATTTTACTTCTGTATTGATGCAAATTTTCGTTTATTTACTGATGATTGAAGGTTGACACTTGTTGTTACGAGTGTGCTTTCTCTATTATGACATTAAAGCGCTTCTTAGAGTTCGTAGAACCATCAGCAGTAAATGGCTACTAAACTTGGACTGTGAACCTGCCAAGTTCTTGTTTTAATTTTGAGCTCTGTGTATGTCTAGCATATTTCTGAGTGCAGTATGCTTAATGATTCATGTAAAATTAACTTTCATGCCTCATTGGGTTATTTTGCAGTTTGAGATCATTATTTCGAGGGCTACACTTTCAGCATACATCTACCCTGAATGCCCCTTTCCCATCCACCATCACTACACAAACCCCAAACTTGGAAATAACAGAAATAAGGTTGCTCTCTGAGATTTGAGCTGGTAGACTCCACAAAGACTGAATGTAGTTAACTATCTCTGGAATAAGTAGCATTATTTCTATAGCTGTGAGATGGGAGAAGTTTAAGAACATGGAAAACTCCAATCAGGGGGATAGGGGAAGAAATTTGGTGAGGCAAGGTGGAAATGTGATTGTAATATAGGAAGCAGAAATTAAATTAATGGACCATAGCCTTTTTGTGAAAAACAGTGAGAACAGGAGAAGGGGCGGGGGAGTAGTTGAAAAGCTTAGAATAAGAATTCACAATCCTAAATATTCAGATGTTTGTGGAGGTGATGCCTAATGCCATTCATACAATGTACTCCCTGCTTGAATTCATCCCTGTGTAGGCATGTTTATATGAAAGAGATGTGTTGGTTTTGTAAGAACAAGAATCCTTGTCCACTTGAAGCTCTTTTCAACAAAAGTTAGTCTATTGACAATCTGGTGTTTTTTTTTTTTTAACGTTAGTTTGTGCACATTTGGTTTTTAATATCTGTCTTTTCTGCCAGATTGTCAGCTTTGTAAGGGCAGGCAGGAATTGTAATGATTTGCCATCTTTTTCTCCACATTGCCTGGCACAATTATATGGCACAAAATAGGTGTACAACACATAATTGTTGAATGAATGAATGTGATGACAAAGCCAGGTTTCTGAGCCCTCAAAACTGAGGACGAGGGAGAGCCATTGTGAGTTCAGTACAGTAAATGCTACTTTATTCGGCTGTGTGGGAGCCAAACCTCGCTACGTTCCTATTACATTCTGTGCCTTCCAATCAAAATACTACAGCTTGGAAAATGACTGGCTACAATGGGTGCTCAGTAAATAATATGTTTGTTTTACTTTCATTTATTCTGGGGATGATTACTGTTTCGTTAACTGCATGGAAAACCTTCAGTTTCCGTTTTCACTACATCAAAATGACCTCTGGGTTTTTAGACCTGTTCAGTCTTCATGATCAAGTGAAGGATTTATTGGTCAACAAGCTGAATTCCTGGGAATCAACTTAAAATAAAGGCATCTTTGAGATTTAGGATGGTAATACCAGTAGCAGGTAGTTAAGCATGAGGTTGTATATAAGCTGCTTTTGAGTGAATGTGAATCTTAATAATTTTTATTTGTCAAATGTTTATGTAGCATTAGTCATGTGCCTAGCACTATTCTACATTGGCAATTAGTATTTGCAAATAATAACCCTATGTAGTATATGTACCATTATCTATTTGTTATCCTCATTTTTCCAGATGGTGAAAACTAAGGAACAGAGAGGTTAGGTAACTTGCCCAAGCTCACACAGCTAGTAAATACGGGAGCTGAGATTCAAACTCAGTCATTTGGGTTCCAGATCCCTTGAGTTTTTCAGCTCTATGCTATCCTGCTTCTCTGTAACAAAAACAACTAGAAGCACATGCTCTATTTTGTTATAATGTTTGAACAGCAGCGTGCTATTAAATCGAAATATCGTGATCCCATTTGTTTCCGGTGATACTGCCTTGAGCTGCCTGTGCTTGTTCCCCTGTGCAGAGAAAGCTTTGAGGGAGCATTTCTTTCTTCTTTTGCTTCTGATGACGCTCACCACTCTCATTTCATCTGCCTCTTCCCACTGTTTGGTGTCGCAGCATCAGTAGCTGACTGCTTCTGATGAGGGAGTGTTTTGTTCAAGGTGCAGTTAATTGGAGGGTTCATTGTCCTGGCATGAAGTCGTGTAATCCCTCCCTAGCCTTGAATTCTCCCTACTTGACATTTACCGAGAACTCCTTTTGAGTCTGTTCCACTGTTGAATCAGAGTGGCAGTCAAGATGTTCTTCCTTATTTGACCACAGTCTGTCTTGAGTTGTAAGTCCTTTCCTTTCCAGCTCTGTTCATTGGGATGACACTTCTGTTGGGGATAATTAGAAAAGAATTTGGAAAGAAAAATTCATGGTGAAGGTGTGGAGGATTTTACTTCTGAGCCCTGGGAGGGACGCAAAGTAAAATAAATACAGATGGTGCTTATCTCTTTGAGGAAGAAGAGGGAGATTGTGTTTTTCTAGTTTGATCTGTTTGGGCTGGGAATGATCCCATTGGAGCTAAATTACCTCCAGGGTCAGTAATACTTTGTGTGTTATTTGTAACCCTACACCAAGGAAAGTTACATTCCCCCCCATGTTACATTGAAAGAACCAAGTTAAGATAGGGAAGTAAGTTGTCTAAGATTTTTTTTTTTTTTTAATAAGAGGCAGAGCTAGAATTCAGCTGCAGGATAGTTGTAGGCCATGCCCTTCCATCACAGGACACTGACTCTCCATGTACCATACCAGAGACTATTACCAGTGGTGATCACAGTGGTGGGAGCTAGATAAGTGTAAGCCCAGTTGTTTTCTTGTTTACTCTGATGAAAGATAATTTGGCCAATGTCCTGTTAACAAATCTTTAGGTACTTCTCTTTTCAGTTTAATTCAACAAACACATTGTTGGGTGCTAATTGTGTGCTTAGAGAGAAAGAGAGGGAGAAGGAAAATTCTTTGCAGAGCTTATGGTGTAGTAGAGGAGACTTAGGAAGGCTGCAGAGTAGTTGTGCAGAGTGATTCCACGTGAAGGGAAGGGAGGCCCCCCCCCCCCCGAGGAAGCAGTGTTGAGCTGAGTCTCGATGGATGTGGAGGAGCTTGCCATACTGTAGTGTGGAGGTGGAGAAGCTGAGCAATAACGTGAGCAATGGCTGTCACTTTTGAGGAACTGAAAGTAGTCAGGTGTGATTAGCATGCGGCAGGTATGCCGGATAGAGGTTTGACCAAAGGGTCCAAGTCTTTATAACCTAAGGAGTTGGGCTTCTGTCCAAGTAATGAAAGATGCTACAATTTCCCCCAAGAAAAAATAAATACCAGTTCCTTATAGGCAGGGTAATCATATAACTTATCATTCAAATTGAGACACTTTTGGAAACAGGGACTAACTAGGACACTGGGACAACAGGCGTAAACCAAGACTGTTCTGGGCGACCCAGGATGTATGGTCTCCCTCCTTCTAGGCTTGGCTTTCTGTTTATTTATTTACATTCTTTCTAGCTTCTCTTTCGGCTTTTCAAGTGCAGAGCTCAGCACTGAACTTGTTTCACTTTATAAAAATGGTA